TGGATTATTTGATCACTCATAATTTTTCAGCCCTTGAAGTTTTATGAATTCACAATTCTGTGATAAATCAAGACCTTACACTTGAAGGTAGAAGATTTGGATTCATTAAATGGAGTTAAATAAATTTCTAACTGCGTTTAACATGCTTGAATATCCTGTGTTGACGTGAAAGAACAGACTTTAATTGCATGGATTACAATAACTGCATAACATAGTACTTTTTTATTAAAATCATAAATAGCTATTGTTTGATTTAACTAGAGTTGGCAAAGGGGAATTTTTTAGTATGACAATTTTACGTTTTATTTGAAAATCCCTACAGTGCATCTGAAGTTGAAAGGAAAATTCCTATAATATTATAATATAATAATATAATATATTATAATAGTTTTTGACTATTATAATATAATAATATAATATATTATAATAGTTTTTGACTATTATAATATAATATTATAATATATGTATTATATTATAATATAATATAATATAATAGTTTTTGAATTAAAAGATTTCCCCCCAAAATGTAAATCTGTGCCACATTAACATCGTCTTCTGAGGAGAAATCTGAACATCTCTAACTAATGCACTTTTTACCTAGTAAAAACTAGATATCAGTTTATCTAGTTTCGAATCCTAAGTCCATAATTTCTGAACAATGGAAACTGCCAAAAATTAAACCTCTACATTTGTTATTAATTATAAAATTCTTAAATGCTTTATTATAAAAAGCCAGACAAGAATGATCTCAATTGACTGCCTCTTCTATAGTTTTTAAAACATTCAGTGTCAGACTTAATCTCTTCATTATAAGAGAAAATAAGCTGCTTCATCACTATAATCAGTAATGGGATTTCCAGAAATCTAATGTAAACTATGTTTTTTAATGGGATAACCTATTACTTCCAAATTTTGTTAAAGCATCTGGCACTTTCTTACTATTTTTATCAGTATTATGTTTAACCAGGTCTGGAAAAGAATGACTAGGAAGCAGTTTGAGGACAGGAAATGTGATTGAAACATGACCAATCTTTCTTCCATGTCAAAGGGTAGGAAAGATGATAGTAAAAGCAAATCATAACTGGTTAGCCTTTGAAGATGCAAGCAAATGTCTGGGATTTTTGATGAAGTCATAGACTTGTCTTTCTCCAAACACAATTTAGATAAAACCACAGTTCATTCTCATTCTTAGGATCTTTTCACTTCACACCTTAAACCTCAAGTCTCTCCCTCTTCGTGCCCTTCCATCAGTCGAGGACCCAAAACTTGGCTAAGGAATGTGGGAGTTAACATGGAAAGTACATCTTTATGGCTCCTTCTCTCAAAAATTTGTCTTTAGCACATATTTAGCACAGATCTGCCTCTGCTGCTTTGGACAAACCCTTTGAACATATTCCTTTTCCTCACCTACTACCTCCTCTTGTCTGGATGGTCCTCTTCTCTCCTCCTGCATCCAATTTCATTCTAGACCCTTTCTACATGACTTTTTTTAAATGGCGCTAAGGTCACCGGCAATCTTCTTTTGGACGAGTCGCCCAGTATGACTCTGCTCCTTCTCAGACCAGTCTCCTTTGTCATTTTCCTTTTTGCCTATTCTTTCCATTTCTGTTTGCTGCCCTCCTTCATTTTTCCTGTTCTCTAACTTAATGTCTACTCTCTACTGGTGTAACACTTGACTCTTAAACCTAATCCCCAGTGATGACTTTACTAGAGTCCAAATCTTGGGTTTTTCTTTGTCGTTTGCATCTCACAATATGGAGCCACGAGAAAGTTCTTTCATAAGCTAAATTTAAAATGTGTAAGACTGAGATAACATGCAAAAGTGATTTCCCTTTCTCATCTTTTTAGTCTTTCACAAACGAATTGAACATAAAGTATTCTATAGACCACAAGGATGGCCATAGATCCCTCACCACTTGAAGGGCAAATGGGCATGGAAAACTAGGTATCCCTTAAAGAAAATATAGCACTGGTTTTCCAAGCAAACCATCAAATTATTGTTCAATGAATGAAGGAAGTGTATATGTACATATTTATATGTATGATTTAACCTGTGATTTACTTTATATATATAATACTTTGACATTGTTACATGACCAAACATAGTTTCTATGAGAACCATATAAATTCTCATTTAAAATGAATCACTCTACCAGGTATCCTACCAGTGATTTTTTTTCTTAATTCTTTAAAACACAAGTCTTCTCAAATTTGAGCACTTAAATTCCCAGGTATTGTTTTTCTGTTCAACGACGATGAGAATTCCATTATGAAAGATTGGCAGAGTCTGAGAGGTTTGCAGATCAGAGTGTTTAATTAGTGTTGCTTTGTATGGGTTTTGTTGTTATTGTTTCTCTTATTTTTGTTTGTTTGTTTCTTTTAACTTATCTTATCCAAGGCTTTAGGAGGTTTTGTAGAAGTACCCACAGAACATTTCTCATTGCAAAATATCACCACAGTGTCTTAGCCCTTTGGGGAAACATGTAATGTAACATTACTTACTTGACATAATTTATGTATAATTTATTCCTATCTATCAAATCATAGTTCTAAGCTTTTACTGACAATCAAGGGGCATTTTCTAACCAGTTTAGTCAGGTTTCAAAAAAATACAAATTTTAATAGTATAGAAAGATATTATTTTGCCCTTAAGGTACTTTTGTTAATGAATTGAAGATCTGTTTACACAATATACTTTTGTGATTATTACTTATTCTCCTCAATTAACAAAATCGGAAGTTAGAATATTTGTTGTTTTCTTGTTTATATGTCACAGGAAAATATACATATAAAAAAGGTGACAACACTGATTAAATTTTAAAGAAACACAGTGTTTTGAATAACAATAATGCGATTTTACCATGGCTGAGAATATGGAAGATACAATGTTTAATGAGATGATTATCATATCAAGCTATAGCAAACACAATTTCAAATAGTTTTGTTATAATCTACTCGAATGAAATATATTTTACTTTGAATCTTGTAAATTATATTAATTTTTAGACACTTGAAAAGTAAAAATTAAAAATAATTTTTGTATTTTAATATTGGGAAAAGAAGGATTTTAGTATTTGTTGAGGGCATAGAAGCAAAATAAGACCTTCTTGTCTCTCTGTACCATTTTTTTTTTCTGTCACTTATTTCCAGACCTCCTAAGAAAAGGGATTTAAGCATTGTCTGGCAGCATTTTATGGGATAAAAACGGTATGACTAATGATCTAGCGAATGTCACTTTATCTCTTCCATGGAATATTTTGTTTCTGGACACTGGAGACCATACTTTATGCATTATTGTAGTGAAAGAGAAACTATATTTCTGTGTAGGTAACAGTGATAGAACGCACAAGTGAGATGTGGGGGACAAGAAGAGAGAATAAATTAAATTCATAGAGCTTAATGACTAGAATAATAGTACTATTAATGAGATGGGAAACATAGGGAGGTACAATTTGTTCCAGTAAAATTTTATTTCCAAATTTCTAAAAGGAACTAGAAAACACTAGAAGAGATTATCAACACATTTTTTTTACATTCCTTGAAAATATCTTCAAATTAGACAGAACAGATGATTTTTCAATGTTATTCCACATTCTCAAGCTATTGAAGTCTCTCTCCCCCTCCCCCAGAGCATCTACATTTTTCTCATTGACAGCACACTGCATACAAACCTAACATCACAATCCAGACTCTTGTAAAAGCCTGTGATCCCAGAAAAGAATTCAGTTAGATGTTTGGTGCAGGAAGAGAGTATAATCAAAATCCTAAAATTGAATATATAGAAAACCAGGAATAGAGAACAGAGAGGTTTACCCACTTTGTTTCTAGTTAGGAATCTCCTGGCAGTAAAAAAAAACAAAGGGTTTCTATGTTAATCACTAGAATTTACACTAAGTATTCATTCAATATCAATGTAAAGATTGATAGTGACATGTGCCACTCTGCTGCACACCTTTGTGGCAATAACATCTTTAGAGAGTGGCACATGTCACTATCAATCTTTACATTGACATCGGTGAACATTCTAGCATACTGAATATAGTGAGTGCTAATTACTAAATAATTGGCTACGGAAATATTTGGTGGGGTTTTGCAAATAACTCCTTGAAAAGTAGCCTATACAAATTAAAGGCATTCTCTCTGAAATTCTTTGATAAGTTGTTTGGAGAGTTTTCATGTTTCCTTCCTAATACCTTTAGGATGCATTGTCACCTCTTAATCAATAAAAGAAATTAAGGTTTTCGTTTGCATCATCTTGTGCAACTAACCTTTTGTTTGCATTTTTAGCATTCTTCCATGTGCCCTGAACTATAATTACCTGTAGGATACTAACAAGCTGGTACATAGGGTGTTTGCTATATTTAATATAGTAAACCTGATCAACTCCTTTATTTTGGTATAAACATGGTGCTGCCCTCTAGAGAATATTGTTGGTTAATGCAAAAGTATAAATAAAACTATGTAAATGCAGATTGCTTCACTTTGAAGAAAATAAATAAGAAATGTACAAAATATGTTCACTTTATAGAAATACTTACAACTTATTTTAGTTTTCCGTGTTCTTATAAGATGAAACCTTTGTATTTTATACATGTTGCTTAATTATTACATCACAAACTTTCCCCAAATGGCTTGTCGATTAAGCATATATTCTTAATTTTTTCTCAAAACACTTTTTTGAAGCTATGTGTACTCTAAGAATTTTCAGTAGAAGCCCCATATGAGTAAAGTGGATACAAGAAATTTTTGAAAAACTAAAAAAAAAAAAAAAAAAGGAAAGAAAAAATCTACGATGGTTGCATATTGTTAAATAAATGAAAAATATGTTCTCTGCCATTCTTTATCACTTATATGATATAACATGCTTACCTGTTTGCTAAATTTTGTACTATTGTTTCTTAACACTTACTAAATATATTTAAGCTTATTTAATTGGCTGTTATGAAGTTATTTGGACTTTTAACTAATTTTCTTTTTCTTTTTTTTTCCTCTCTCCCCAGAAAGGATGGAATTATGAATCCAATCTGTTAAATTTCCTCTTCACAATTTTAAACTTTGGTTGCTTAACACTGAAGCAATCATGGTGAACCTGAGGAAAGCGGTGCATTCGTTCCTGTAAGGATGTTATTACTTATTATTTTTTAAAAGTTAACTTTTTTATAGTAGCTTGAACAAAAATGTTAGAGGTTTTTCTATGATCATTCAGCTATGTTTGCCTCAATTTGCACAAGTGACCTGCAACCCATGCATGGGTTATGTTCCCTGTTCAAAAATAATTGGAAAAAAAACCCCAATAACTTAGACTTCAGTTAAACAGAACTGCTCATGTATTCAAATAAATATATGGCAATTATATCTTAAATTCAAAAATAATTCCAATGTTCATGGCTCCTCTCTCCATGGTTAAAATGTAGAAATGAGAAAGGTTCTTTTCTTGTCTTTCTTTTTTCTTCCTGCATGAACTAAACAGCCAAAAGGACAAGATGTTTCTGGTTTTATAAAGAATGGTTGAGTAAGAAGTCCGAGAGTAGAGGTTGGGTGATGTAGCTAGACAGAGGAAAACAATGGCATCTTCCAAAGTCTTGATGCAATGATCCAGTAGTTCAGGTCAATAGAATATCACATAAAGGAGATATGAATTGGATTCAAGTACTGAGCAATTCTAAATGTAATCTAATCCAGGTATATCTTCTTTTTAACTTAATGAAATGTTGGGTTGGTTTCCTCCAAACCCACTCTTTGAGGAATGGGACATGGGAGAAAGATTCAGCGCTCTGTAAATTCTAATCAGTTACAGTTGAGAAATCTTGAATCCCCTTGCTCCTACAGTCTCCTCCATCAGTCCTGTAAAAGAGCTCACCCAGGAAAAAGTTTGTGGAGTAGTAGAGATATAAAGTACATCAACACTGGATCCTCCACAATATGCAGTATGATCCACTATAGCCCATCTTGGATGTCCTTTTACACTGTGGTGATGGTAGTCTCAGTGATGTGTGATTCCAAGAGAACAACAGCAGACAGGAAAAGGAAAGGATGAAGGATAATGATAAGGAAGGGAAGGGGTTCCTGGGTGGTGCAGTCAGTTAAGTGACCAACTCTTGATTTGGGCTCTGGTCATGATCTCAGAGTTGTGAGACCCAGCCCTGCATTGGATGGATGGTAATTCACCTCTTCTAAAAACACCTGTTGTCATATGCCATGCAAAAACGCGGTGCATTTAAAACATACAGACTTTTGGGCGTGTGGGTGGCTCAGTTGGTTAAGCTACTGCCTTTGGCTCAGGTCATGATCCTGGAGTCCCAAGATTGAGTCCTGCATCCGGCTCCCTGTTCAGCAGGGAGTCTGCTTCTCCCTCTGACCCTTGCCCCTTCTCATCCTCTCTCTATCTCTCTCATTCTCTCTCTCAAATAAAAAAGTTTTTTAAAAACTAAATAAAAAAATAAAACATACGCTCTTTTAAATCAAATTATCATTTTGGTTACTAGGAACATTAAATTATATGTTTGTTAAACCTTTAGTACCAATGCATAAATCGGTTACATTGTTCAGGGAGAAATTGTAGTTTTTGTGTACATATTTTATGAGACTTCTGTGGGCTTAATAACAATTAACTTAAGGTTAAGACCTACATTATTCTTCTTTTATAAAAAAGTGTATATATTTCATGAAGCATGTAAATATTAGAAGTTAAGTTTAATTATAATATAGCCAATTTCTGATTACAAAACTATAGAAAATAAGATTGACCTTTAATAAAAAATTATAATACTTTGCCCATAGTAGCACCCAGTAAGAATGTATTAAATTTATTTGAGTTGAAACCAGGAAACTGAAGTAAATTCTCTTTTAGGATCTTTCCAGTAACATTATTTTATAATTCACAATAGGTATATTTAGATTCTATAAGCTTCCTCAGTAATTCGGTATTTGTCTCATGGACTCTTTCATGAAAATTAAAAATATATCTGGCCAGCAGAGGTAGGCAAGATAACCACTCCCAAGTGTTTTCCTACCCATAGTAAGACACTCAAATTTTAAAATTGATAATTGTCCAATAGTATTTCATGTATTTTTTACATGCAATTTTATCCTGCATTCCTCTTACATTTTTAAAGATTTTTTAAAATTTATTTATTAGAGAGAGAGAGCACAAGTGACAGGAAGGGACAGAGGGAGAGGGAGCCCAACACAGGGCTCGATCCCAGCATCCTGAGATCATGACCCGAGCCAAAGGCATATGCTTGACCAACTAAACCACCCAGGTGCCCCTCTGTCATTTTAGAGAAATATACAAAAGGACTTTGATGTTTTTACAACTTGCTTAGAAAATTCAAGTTGGATGCATATTCTGTTAGGATCTTACTCTCTGAAGGATAAATATATTTATTGTTCTATACTTGACAATTGAAGATGCAACATTTTACTATGAGCATAAACTCTTAGAGGACTAGCTGAGATAATCATCAGCTAATTTAAACTAGAATTTTTTTTTAAATGCTAGAAGGACATGTTCTTCATCAGATAAACCAGAAAAGACCCAGATTTAAAATTATTGTCTGAGACACTTTTTGCATAAATTAGTATCTTATTAAAATAAAATCAGGATTTAAATTATCACCAATTGTGAAATACGTGAGTCAGGGTATAGTTAGCATGAACTATTTTTGTTTAACTTTGAAGGCAAAAGGAAAGTAAGCCCCAATATTTACTGAGGGCCTCTTATGACAAAGGTACAATTTTCAGGACTTTATATGTATCATTTAGTCTTCCCAACAATCACATGATAGGTATTACAGATGAAGAAACTGATGCTCTGAGAGGTTAAGTGACTGGTCAAAAAATCATTGAGGTCATGAAGTTAGGAAATTGACCGCATACCCAATGCAGCAAACATAGTGACAGAATAATCAAAGCTGAGAGCAAATAACTTGCTTCTATTTATTTGGTCCTTTATTTTAATAATTTCTACTTGCATTCATCACAGATTACTTATGATATAGATTTTTTGAAACATATATAATTTTAACTTATTTTTTATGTTCCAGGAAATAGAATTTGCTGATTATTTGATACAATAATTTACTGATTATTTGATAAAAATTACTATGTATATCACCACCTGCATGTGGCTTAGAATGTCAGGTAACTTCGACTAATATGGAAGTTATTTTAAGCAAAATGATTAAAATATTAGTTTTCTACCCTCTGTAGAATGAGAAAGTCAAAATATTTTCATGATTTCTTCATTATCTTAAAAGACATAAAAGTATATTACCAAGATATTAAGAGAAATAATTTTAAAATACTCCAAAAAATTATTACAGTATTTTACTTGAATTTTGAAACATTAATAGTTTTTCAGGCCAAGCATTCCAGTGTACGTTTAGAAAGTATGGTGTATGTGCATGTATGTGTGTATAATGTTGTAGATATGATATCATTATGCTATCATAATCATCCAGTTTTACTACAGTAAATTTCTCTGATGATTGATAATAAATGATAAGCTAATCAAATCACACATGTATTTTCTCTGTATAGATGTAACATTTTTAGTTCAAAGAAAAAGTGAATAAGATAATGAAATAAAACCATTTATGTGAAGAACTCAGACTATAGATCTTTTAATGTCATGTGTTCAATCTCCCCAATTCCAGAAAGATCCTTACTTCAACAGTCTTGCAAAAAAAAAAAATTATTCAGCATGTAATTGTATGAGTAGAGAAAATGTCCTCCTCTATAAATAATAACAAGGTTTAACAACCACTACCTGTAGTGTAGTTGCTGCTTAATATTTATAAAATAACTACTATTGAACATACAATACACAAAAACATTTTCAAATAATAATCTTTGTTTTTACGCAGGAAATAATGAATATGCCTATCTTTCTTATCTATTTCATTAATAAAAATAAATATTAGTTTTATTAGATCCTTTAGGAACACACACTTTGAGAGGACACTTAATATATGTAACCTGAATAAATCCCACACCACTATGGAGGAAGTTGATTTGGGATGCACAAAACATAATCCTGTCTGCTTCTCCTACATTATTTGCCACCTGGCCTGATATTCTTACTAGTAGAGTCTATGAAAGTACCTTCCTGAGAGAGGCACAGTTTAAATGACTTAAGAGACTTTGCATCCAACACAGGAAAAGCAGCAAACCCATAGGAATTCATCAGCACCACAAATCAATCATTTTCTGGCCTAGATCAGGGCCCAGAAAACATAGAACTGAAATGAGGAGAGTGTCAGATAGAAGGAAAATTTACAGCACAGATATTAATATGTATGGGCCAGCCTAGACTCTGTAGCTGTTAGAAGGTAAAAAGAGTTTTAGAAAGAAATGAATATGTGCTATGGCCCAAGCCCACGGTGCCTCTTCTAACATCTTGCCTGAAGTTTGTCTGATGACAACTTATTCCTTCTTAGCTTTAGATTTAAAAAGGCAATGGTGCAATTTTCTTGTCAGAGTACTGGGTACTTAAGGGAAAATCTCTCTTCATTCTGTTGTCAGTTGTCTCAGAAGGGATCAAGAAGAAATTAATATTGAAAAAATATAAAAATAGACCCTTAGAGCAAATCAAACACTGTGGTTTCATATTGCTTATATAAAGTAACAGTTTAAAATACAGGCTTTGAAATCACTAGGACCTGGGTATGGACCTTGTCCCTGCCACTTACTGGCTGTTCTTCCTTGAGAAAGTTACTTAACCTCTCTGAACCTCAGACTCATCATTTTCATAATGAATATAAACCAATACTGACCTCATGAGGTTGTTGTGTATGATCAAATGAGATTACATATATGCAATTTTATAATACAGATAATTTTTAGTTATATATATATCTATATCTATATATATATAGATATAGATATATATATATACATCTCCATAAACTAAGTGTCTGACTCATAATATTCCTTGGATAGAAAGAAGAAATAGTGAGATTTAATTAAGGCAGTAGAAATGATGACGGTGATGTGATAAGAGTTGCTAAAGGAAAAGCAATTGTTTTGTATAAGTAGTTTATTCATATAAACAATGTAATATGTATCTGATTTTTTTTTTCTTAATTTTTCAGTGTGCACCTAATTGGCCTACTGGTTTGGCAATGCGATATTTCTGTGAGCCCTGTTGCAGCTCTAGTAACTGACATTTTCAATACCTCCGATGGTGGACGCTTCAAATTCCCAGACGGGGTACAAAACTGGCCAGCACTTTCAATCGTCATCATAATAATCTTGACAATAGGTGGCAACATTCTCGTTATCATGGCAGTAAGCTTGGAAAAGAAACTGCACAATGCCACCAACTATTTCTTAATGTCCCTAGCCATTGCTGATATGCTAGTGGGACTACTTGTCATGCCACTGTCTCTGCTTGCAATCCTTTATGGTAAGTACAATTTTATTATTATTTTTTTTAATCTCAGATTATATCCTAAATTTGTGTCAAGTATCATAGTAAACATTCATAGAGTTAATCATTTTACTTATATCATTTGGAAAATGATGAAAAAAGTAAATTGTGTGACAGAAAAATTTGATGTGTTTATCATATTATTAAATAAATCAGTAGCAGAGTCTTCAAAAAGCAAAACGGACATTTTACAATATATTAAAATCATGCACAAACACTCTATTGCTCAGTTTCCCTTATAAACAATGATAGTTGCCTTAATGTATACAATGGGACAGTGACAGAAACATGTTCTCACCTCTATGTTCTGGGGGGGGTACACATACTTAGTATCATCTCTTACACAAAGAAAGAAAAAGAGACTCCTCATCCTTAATAAATGTATTTTAAGTAATCTCTTTAAATGTTGGCAAACTAAGTGCTTGGCACATAATATGCACTCAATAATAGCTATTCTTTATGGGGTCTACAATTTATGTTTTCACAAGGTGATGGGAATAACTAATTAATAATTATATAAGTGCAAGGTCACATCACAATAAAACTCAGGCATTCAGAATTTTTATAATATTGATTTTAGAGAGGTTTTTCATTTTCCTTTTCATACTCTGCTATCCCCTTACCTTATTCATGTCACATTTTATTTTTTTACTCAAGTGTAATTAACATACAGTGTTATATTAGCTTCAGATGTACAATACAATGATTCAGCAATTCTATAAATGTCTCAGGGCTCATCAAGATAATGTGAGGGAGACAAACCATAAGTGACTCTTAATCTCACAAAACAAACTGAGGGTTGCTGGGGGGAGGGGGGTTGGGAGAGGGGGGTGGGGTTATGGACATTGGGGAGGGTATGTGCTATGGTGAGTTCTGTGAAGTGTGTAAACCTGGCGATTCACAGACCTGTACCCCTGGGGATAAAAATACATTATATGTTCATAAAAATAAAAAATTAAAAAAGAAAAAAAAAAGAAAATGGTACTCTTACTCCCCTTCATCTATTTTACCCATCCCACTACCCACCTCTCCTCTGGCAAATACCACCTTATCCTCTGTATTTGAGTCTTTTTTTTTTTTAATGTGTCTCTTTTTTCCTTTGTTTTGTTTCTTACATTCCACATATGAGTGAAATCATATGGCATCTGACTTTCTCTGACTAACTTCAACTAGCATTATATCCTCTAGGTCCATCGTATGGTGCAGATTTCAAGATTTCATTCGTTTTTTATAGCTGAGTAATTTTCCATTATATATATGCCATATTTTCTCTTTTCATTCATCTCTGTATGGTCACTTGGGTTGCTTCCGTATCTTGGTTAATGTAAACAATGCTGCAATACACATAGGGATGTATGTATATATTTGAATTAGTGTCTTCATTTTCTCTGGGTAAATATCCAGTAGTGGAATTACTGGATCATATGATAATTCCATTTTTAATTTTAAACATGAAGAAAAAATCTTCAGGAATTTCAGGTAAAAATAAGGAAAAGTATACAAGAGTAAGAGAATTAGAATGACTTCACAATTAACAAAAATAAAGCATAGTAATAGAAGCAATATTATTCAAAAAGTTAACCAATTCTAAGGAACTCTTTCAAAGGCAACTCTATAAAGAAAGAAAACAGATCACTAGTTTCAAGTGGTTTAAGGTGGGAGGATGACCAAAAAGGGGTATTTATTTTGGTATATGTTGATGTGGTGGTTTTATATATATATATGTATATACATATGTATGTAAATTATACATATATAATGTAAATATATATATAAATTCTTAAAATTTGAAAAGCTATAAATTCTATTGTGCAGTTTTAAAAAGGTAAATTTTACTGTATGTAAAGTATACCTTAAATTAAAAAGTGGAAAAACATACTCAGAGTTTGAAATGAAGATTTCTACATCCAGACATGCTAGCCATGCAGGCTATAAAAAGTTGAGATTTTGAACTCAGGGAATTCTGAACCCATTAAGCCCTTCTTAAGAAATCAAATAGTAGATGAGATTCAACTAACAAAGGAATGACTGGGAAAATTTCATCCAAAAGACTAATGATGAGCATTTAATATGGGTAATTTTAGAGCTAAGACAAAAATAAAAGTGCTATAAGGGTAGAAGAATACTGTTATATGTTATATAACACCTATTATGTGATATAAACTCTAAAAAATTAACAAAAATGAAACTAAAATTAGGAGAAGAATAGAAAGGGAAAGAGGAAGAGGAAAGTAAAATAATTTTATTGATTTTTCTATAAACAAAAGGTGGGAGTTAAATGATACCGTAAAAAATTGGCAAACCAGAAAGTAACAGATTTAATAAGAAAACAGTGGTTTAAGGGCATTAAACATGATATAAATAAAACATGATATAAATGTGATATTAAAGTTCACTACTAAAATAAAAAACAAATCTTCCAAAACCCCAAAAGAAATATAGTTAATAAAAGAGCAAAAAAATCAATTAGAAGAAGAAACATAAGAAAATATAACATTATGCCCTCAACATTATACCATGATGTAACATGACAGAGGAAAACAAATATATTGGTAGCAGCAGTAAATGTGAACGAACCTAAAACATGACTACAAATGAAAGATTTTTAATTTGCATTAAAAAGAAAGGCCCAACTATATTCTCTATACAAGAGAAGCCCTTAAAACCCAGTGATTCATAATTGTTAAAAATAAAGGGATGAGCAAAAGTGCACTGAGTAAATGGAAACAGTAAGAAAACAGAAATTGTGATTTAATACCTAACAAAGTAAATTTCAAGTGAAAACAGCAACAAGAGTAAAAAAGAAGGCTGCTTATTTATGATAAAAGCCACAATTAACAACAAAGATATAGAAGTTAAGAATACCTATGTCACCAATAACACAGCAATGATCTGTATAAAGCAAAAACCAAAGAACATGGAAAGACACATTTATAAATACATTCTCCTAATGGGAGATTTTAACACATCAAATTCAGTATAAGAAAAATTGGGCAAAAAAATAAAAAGGATATAGATCTTATGAAGGTGTGCTGAACTTTATACTCTTATCAAAGAGAGAATACCTTCTTTGTAGGTGCACATGGTACATGCACAAAAATTAATAAAATACTCGACCACAAAGAAAATATTAGAAAAGTAAAAATATTACCCAAAGTGCTTTCTGATAAGAAGGCAATAATATTAGAAAAATTAACAAAAGTTTAAAGACCATCTCATCCTGAAATTATAACAAATGTTTAAACAACTCTTGAGGGGCACCTGAGTGGCTCAGTTAAGGGTCTGCCTTCAGCTCAAGTCATGATCACAGGGTCCTGGGATGGAGCCCCACATTGGGCTCCCTGCTCAGTGGGGAGTCTGCTTCTCCCTCTCTCACTCTCCCTGTGCTCTCCCTCCCTCTCTCCCTCTATCTCTCTCATTCTTTCTCTCAAATAAATTCATAAAATCTTTGAAAAGTAAGCTCTTGATCAAAAGGAGAAATGTTAACTGAAATTACAGATTTCTTTAGAAATATGACAGCATAAACACTACATATCAAAGTCTAAATAATAATACTTAAAGCAGTGATCAGTGGAAAATTCATATCCCTAATCACATTTGTCAGTAAAAATGAAAGCATATAAATGAATTAAATTCCCAGAAAAACAACCTGGGAAAAAAACATAAACTATAAAGTAAACCAAAAGAAAGCACGAAGAAGAAAAAAAAAAAAGGAAGAGAAACGTAGAAATTGACTACAGAATAAAAAACAATAGATCTAATGAATAAATCAAAATCTTGGTTTTAAAAAAAAATTTTGTTAAACAAAATAAAAAGTCATCAGCTAACTTTAAAAAAAAGAAGAAAGCATGTATAAAATGAGATACCACAAGGAGAATAACTGAAGAAAATACATTTTTTAAATCATGAGATTACTTTGTGATTTATATGCAAATTAATTCAGAGCATTAAAAATAGGTAATTTCCCAAGTTGAATAATCTAATTATAATGAGCAGATGACCTAAATAGATATTTCTTCAACTAAGACATACAGATGTTCAGCAGCCACATGAAAATATGCTCAATATCACTAATCATCAGAAAAATGCAAATCAAAACCACGATGAGATATTACCTTATACCTGTCAGAATGGCCAGAATCAAACAAGACAAGAAATAACAAGTGTTGGTGAGGATGTAGAAAAAAAGGAAACTGCATGCACTGTTGGTGGGAATATAAATGGTATAACCACTTGTAAACCAGTACGGAGGTTCCTAAAACAACTAAAAATAGAAATATCCTATGAGCCAATAATTCCACTACTGGGCATTTATCGAAAAAAATAAAAAACACTCATTCAAAAAGATACACATACTCATAGGTTTGCTGCACCATTATTTACAATAGCCAAGATAAGGAAGCGTATCTCTATGTTCTTCCAAAATTAATGTAACAATTAGTTCAATTCCAATAAAAATGACAAGATTTATTTTTTTAAAAAAGTATATTGTCTCAAAAAACACTTAACATAAGAGCTACCCTCTTAAAAAATTTTTAAGTGTATAATACATTATTATTGACTAAAGTTACAATGATGTATAGCAGGTATCTAGAGCTTACTCATTTTGTTTAACTGAAACTTTATACCTTTTGGTAAGTCCCCATTTTCCCTTCCCACAGTATCCTGGCAACCACCGTTGTACTCTTTGATTCTATGAATTTAACTACTTTAGATACCTCATATATAAGTGGAATCATACAGTATTTGTTTTTTTGTGACTGTTTTTTTTTCACTTAGCATAATGTCCTCCATGTTCATCCATGTGGTCACATATTGCAGATTTTTCTTCTTTTTTAAAACTAAATAGTATTTTGTTGAATGTAGTATATATTATATATCTATAAATTATATATATTTATATTACTTTTTTTCATTCATCTGTTGATGGACATTCAGGTTGCATCCACATCTTGGCTACTGTAAATAGTGTTGCA